TTCGGTACAATGTAGCTTTCAATGTGAAGCGTTTTATTTGTGCCAATATATTGTTTGCATTTTGAGGTATTCCCAATCCTATGACGCCCCCAGATTAAATATCCCTTCAACCATTCTTCAACCAACAGTCTTTCCATCCACAACAATCCCTTGTGTCGATGCATCCCGACCACCTAAAGGTAACCATCTAACGGGGTGTTTCTTGTAGAAGGGCCATGGAGGCACAACGATGGCGAAGGTGAATGCCGTTCCAAGTAAACCGAAAGCAAGCGCCAGTTTGATATCTTGTTTGAAGAAGCCAACAAAGAAGGCAATGGCCTATTACTATCAATCAGCATATTTCGAATGACCAGGAAGGGATAGAATGATTTACTCCGGATATTGCTAACAGAGCTGTTGTCAAGAATTCTGCCAATCTTTGACCTTCAAAGTCCTACACGCGGAACAGGGAATCAGCATCAGACCCAGCTTTATGACCTTCAATAATATGATTGTGTGAATGATTGTATACTAACAATTTGTCCTTCGGCAAGATCCCGAACCTGGTCAAGAATTTGGTCTGCCATGTTCGTAATTTGTGTGCAAAGTTGGATGACCGAATTACAGAAACAACGAATCAAGTCTTTTACTAGATAAGAAAGTCGATTTTGTGAAATGTTACCAAATTCTACAAAGTGTCCCTTGAAGCTTAGGTTGAGGCCACAGTTCAGCCTTGTTATGGTTACCTATGGTAGGTAGGTATACCCTTGACTACTAATCGCCTTGGCCGATAATTGGTAACCGGGGGGCTAAAGGCACATGGTTAGAGTTTGGGTGAGGGATGAGCGAGTTTGGTTCAACAAGATGTACAGTTTACTTGATTCCTGTTACTCAAACGGCTTGATATTAAAGTTATCCTACGAGTATAGAGAATACTATAGATATATGAGCTGGACGAAAACCTTCAAGTCTTGGCTAAATCGATAGTAGATAAGATGTGATGGGAGAAGATTCCAGTTCATGTATGGCGATAATCCACGACAAGAAAAGGCTTGGAAGATAAAGAACAAAGGGTATCTGGATGCAAGATTACATTCTCAGATGTCTGGATATACCAATGAAGAAGTCTCATGTCCTCAATGCACATTCCAAAATCAAGATCAATACGTCTTCTCGTGGGACCAAAGCATCCATTAGACAATTGGAACACAGGCAACCCAATGAATCCAAGCACCAATGCACCGATCCCGTATGTGAAAAGACGACTTGTATCGTTTGGCCTGTTGAAGAACATTATCAGGTCTTGGCCTTTGGATGATGGTACACAATCATACCACACCAGATGCCTCGATGGCCCCGAGCAGAAGGATTTGCCATGAAGAGGTTGTTTATGTGGGAGAGATGATTTTGCAGCGAAGGAAAGAAGATGATCTATTGTGAACTCTTATGATCTAATCGACGAGATATGTAAGACCTAGCAAAATGTAATTGATACCTAATAACTACCTAACCACCTACCTAACCATACGAGCCATACTATATATATCAAATGTCTGAGAACTGGCTGGAGGTTGGTAGGTCAATTCTCCATCCATTCTCCACCAAATTCCCCCCCACCAAATTCACTTTTTTCCAATGAATGGAACTCTGAAGAAAGTGTACGGAGTAGTAAGGAAGAATAAGGAGTAAGGAACGATAAGGAATGATGAATTCGAATAAGGAATAATAAAAGGAATGAAATGATTACCTACCTTCGTAGTAGGTATTGTACACCAGCTGGAAACATACATCCACCCATCCATCCACATCCACCTATCCATCCACCATCGTGACCCGTACACTAATACCTACCACTAGTCATAATAAGCGCCTCCACCAAGATTTCTCTTTCAAGCTTTCTTCCTCCAACTCCACTTCTTGTCCTCCTTGAAAAATTAACACCTCAAACAATATCGGATTGGTTTCGACCTTTCAACTCCCTTTCTTATTTAAACACAACATCTAACATCTCAATTCTTATCTTCAAATATCATTTTGCGATTAGCAACTTACCAAATATCTTTCATTTGGCCATTGGCTGTACCCTTAGCCATAACATAACGAGTACGCTTAGGGTTCCCAACACTACATAAAACCGGCCGACCTTTTTTTCAAACTTCTTTTACCTCGAAAAACTTCAACTCAAGACCGGCCACCCATAAAACCGACTTGTCCACCCTTCCAACAATCCAAGCCACGATCAATTCAATTTAAATACTGTTCCATATCGAAATATTCAAATTGTCGCATCAGAGCGATTGTCGAACGCGAGCGTCAATTCATTTCGACTCACAACGCCTCAACGGCTTCATAAACAATCAACCACCAAATTGGCGGGACTCGTATTCCAAGGCTTTTCCTTCATCCGTCCCCTCCTCGGTCCAGTGAAGATCTGGGCCTACTGCGGAGGCGACAAGAAACCCCCATAATTGCACTTTAAGCAATCCAAAGTCGAAACATATAACTGCAGCTATACATACACATCAAAAAGGGGTAGCGGATGGACGAGTAGCCATTCTTCACTAGACACCACACTGTACAGGGAGCACCTGTGCAAAGCCAACTATCAAATTGACGCCAAACAAGCGGTGGGCGCTCGTTGCGACCTGCCTAGACTTTGAAAGCTTTGGCTTCCTAGAAATTTGTATGTCGTTCTTGTTGTAACCGATGGAGTCTAATGGCTAATTCGCATGCAGAAACTTAACCTAAATATATCTTATCTATAATATTATAACTTAAAATGTCTGAACACGAAGACACCTCCCTTGATACCGGCTACAGCACGCCGGTGCCAGAATTAGATGACCACAGACATCAATCCCAAGCTCTACCAAAAGCTCGTTCTCGCAGCGGTACTATCGATAGCATGCAAGCTCCTTCTCCCCGAGCTCCACACAGTCCAGACCTAGCACACGTAAATAACACACTTCTTCAAACAATCGCAAGAGATTTCGAGGAAGCCATTGTCGACGAGGACTCGAGAGGTGTATCTCCAATGGCCATTCGAATGGCAGATAGAAGTCGTAGAGGAACTGCTGTCACTGCCGATATCCGTTCCCTATCACCACCAAGCTCAGTGAAAGCATTTGCAGATGCAAGAAGAAGAGAACGAGAAATGTCTGTTTCGGACCCAACCCCTGGAAAGGCATTTGCAGATGCCAGACGGCTCGAAGACCATAATGCTCTTCATAGAACAGAATCACACGCCAGTCACCGAAGCCATCGTACATTTCGTAGCAGACGCTACACTAACGACAACGATGCGAAGAGCTTCGCAAGTTCGTGCAAGTCAGCCAAGGAAGATGTTTGCTTCCCTCTACATGCTTCTCCAACCAAAAACACCTTACAAATCAATTTTGAAACCCTCGAGGATTTCATTTTGGAGGAGGAAAATCGTTCCAAGACTCCCGTAAACCACACGCAACCTCGAATCTTCCACGATTTGAGAACTAACGGTGCGGTGCCCATGATTGTTACATCGGAAGGTACAGTTGTTGATATTCCTTCGGGTCCACCATCAATCAATGAGAAGTTGGATTCATCTGACCTCGAGGAACTTACTCGGCCAAAGCAATCGCACCCAGACACTAATAGGTTTGAATACTTTTCCTCGCACGGAGTAGATAGTATTCACGCATCGGAATTTGGTGATCTCATCTTGCCAGGAGAAGATATAAGAACCCTATTCACTCCTCCACAAGAAGAAGAACAACCAGGAGAGAGTGTCTGGTGGTTGAATATGAACAGCCCGACAGAGGAGGAGGTTCGTGTGATTTGCGAGGCATTTGGCGTCCATCCTTTGACCATCGAGGATATCACAGCTCAGGAAACGCGAGAGAAGATTGAACTCTTCCCTTCGTACTACTTCGCTTGTTTCCGTTCCTTTAGCGTTGTAGAGATTGAGGACGGCCAGGAATACGATCCATTCAACATTTATGTCATTGTCTTCCGAGAGGGTCTACTCAGCTTTAGTTTTTCGCCAAATCCACATGCAGCCAGTGTTCGTAAGCGTATCACATTGCTGAAGGATTATTTGTCTTTGAACAGCGATTGGATTTGCTACGCGCTAATGTAAGTTTTCCCAACAAGTCACCGAGACCATGAACTGACAATTTCACAGTGATCATATCGTTGATACCTTCGGCCCTGTTATCCACAAGATCGACAACGAGACGGATACAATTGAGGATCAAGTATTCATTGCTCGCAGTGATGACATGCATGCCTTTTTACGAAAAATCGGCATGGTTCGAAAGAATGTTATGGGTCTGATGAAACTTCTGGGTGGCAAGGCCGATGTCTTGAAAGGCTTCACAAAGCGCTGTAATTCGAACTACCTCGTCACTCCTCACATGGATATTGGTATGTATCTTGGCGATATTCAAGATCACGTTGTCACCATGATGACCAGTTTGGGTCACTCTGAGAAGATGCTCTCAAGATCGCACAGCAATTATCTCGCACAGCTGTCAATTGACAACATCACCCAAGGGAACAACGCCAACAAGGTTCTGAGCAAGATTACTCTCCTCGCCTCCATCCTTGTTCCTCTTAACTTGGTATGTGGTATGTTTGGTATGAATGTTGCTGTTCCTTTCGGGAACGAGACGAACAACCTCATTCCGTTCTTTACAATTTTAGCTGTACTGGTGTTTTTCTCTCTTGCTTCCTTGGCCCTTGCAAGACGGTATAGATATATTTAGAAGTTTGTGGGAATCATTGTGCTTGATCTAATAATACTGTTGAGAGGGTTTGTAATCTTGGCAGATGTGGTAGATGTGGTACAGAACTTGGGCTAGATTCATGGTGTTACTATTACGGATCTCTTGGATACATTTTAGATGTCTTTAGATTTTGATATTGTTAATAATAAACCAGATACTACCTAGAATGTATGAATTGCATGATTCCAGTAAAGTGATATGATAATTGATATGTGCTTCAAGATGTCTGGTCTGAAGCGGCCAAAGAGGATTTTACACGTGACCTGATCAATGACTCTGATACCGATAATCTTTGAACCCGGCAAAATTTCTGAAGCTCTGCTCTCTCAAGCTCTGTATCAAACCATTGAATTTCAACCCCAGCAAATCACCAATTTCTCTGTCGCACACATAGGAATCCTTTCCTTTCCTCTCCAAACAAAATCTCAACACACAACTGCGAAATTCTCCATCAGTTAAACAAAAGAAAATGGATTCCTCATCTCTTCAGCAAACACCGGATCTCTCCAAGTTGTCGGATAGAGACAAGCAGGAATTGCAACAGTTTATTGTTAATGAGACGCAGAAGGCTAGGATTCAACAGTGTATGTGTTTTTTTCTTTTCATTTCTTTCTTTGTTCTTTTTGCTTTGGTTGTTGGAGTTCTTCTGGAGTTCTTCTGGAGTTCTTCTGGAGTTCTTCTGGAGTTCTTCTGGAGTTCTTCTGGAGTTTGTTTTGGGGTGGTGGGTTTTGTGTGGAGGGGGGGGGGGTTTCTGGGGGGGGGTTGTGAATTGTACTGCACTGCACTTCATTGCCACGCCGAGTCTTCTTCCCCTCCACGCAAGAGGGAGGGCTATTTGAAAACATGGATGGGCATAAGAATAAGAAGAAGAAGAATATCGAACCACAAGCTAACAACCTCTAGCCGTTCACTCCCTAACCGACGTCTGCTGGAAAAAATGCGTGACGGGCAGTATCCGCAGCGGCAAGCTGGACAAGAGCGAAGAGAGCTGCACGATGAATTGTGTCGAGAGGTTTTTGGATAGTAGTATGGCGGTGATTACGCATTTGAATACTATGAGGGCGAATGGGGGGGCTTAGGTTGGGGTGGGGTTGTGGTTTGAGGAGATGGGGATGTATGATTATTAGTTTGATGGGATGTGATGCGATGCGGTGGATGGGATGGGATGGGATGGGATGGGATGGGATGGGATGGGATGATGTTTTGAGGGGATGTCTGTGTTGGAATGGATATCTTATGATATGATATGATATGATATGTATACTTTCCACTTGTTTCTGATATGACCGAGGTGAGGGAGAGGGGGATGGAGTGTTAAATGAGGTATATGGATATGAATGAGACATGCATGAATGATGTCTCTTGTATGAATAGAAAAATCTAGGCGGATATGCTATGTGATTTGGGTTCAATGAATAACATGATATCTCTTCTCGCAGGATCTTGACCTCGTTGTGGAGGAAGTCGATGAATGGTGCTTGGCTGTATTGATGTGTGGAGGGTAGAAAAGCGGCAAAGTCGATGGAGAGACAGCCATTCTACATAAGGGTATGTTAGTCCAACATACGGTTTGAAAATCACTTGGAGGGGCTCGTGAATTTGGAGTAGAAGCTTGATTTGTTACGAATGATGTCCCTTATGCAGGAGGAACTCCGGGGTTTTCATATGGATTCATGCAATCGCAAGTCGAACTCGTTCGCTTGTACACAGTTTCTCAAAAACAAAACATAATGTAGCACATGATAGAGAGCCATCACAAACAAAACATATACAAGTTCAAGTGTATCAAGAATTGTCATTGGCAGGGTAATACTGCATTGGTATACACATTTTGGAAATCATCTCATTACGCTAAATGGATGTGGGTATCGACCAATCGTAGAAAAAGCTGGTTGTTTCTTCAACCATAAAACTTTTTGTTTCCCTCAAATCCAGATTCCTAATTCCACTCCCAGTTTTGATAATTTAGACAATGGCGAGCTTGGTGGCAGCAATGTCAAGAGCATCAACATCAGCAGTAAGACGGGCGAAGGCCTTCTTGGATCCATCAGGTCTGTAGTCGATATGTTAGTAATTGCACATGATGGAAGAATTTGAATTGAGCCTACCTGATGAGGGTGTTGATCTTGACGGTATCAATGTCGTAAAGCTTCTTCAAGGCCTCCTTGATTTGAGCCTTGTTGGCCTTGATGTCGACAATGAAGACAAGGGTGTTGTTCTCCTCGATCTTCTTCATGGCGCTCTCGGTGTTCAATGGGTGGATGATGACCTTGTGCTCATCGAGACGGGGTTGGGAAACGATGGAAGTACGTGGGTACTTTGGTGCACGGGAGAGTTGGAGGGTCTTAGGTCTGTGGAAGGTGGTCGAGAGACGGACCTTGCGGACCTTGTGGGAGTGAACCTGATAGAATCATTAGTATCAAATATTAATCTCAAGAATGAATAGAAGAACTTACACCCTTCAAGGTAGCCTTAGCAGCGGCATTGGCCTTCTTGTTACCACCCTTGGCGGCGGCACCTATTAAAACTTACGCATCAGCAAGCGCTCTTGAAGAACTCGCAATATCTGCTACTGCTGGTGCGCATCTTTCGCATTCCTTCCGGCTGTATCTGGAAATATTTTCATATTTCGTAATTTCAAAGCGGTCGCAATATTTTCCAAGGACGATATTGCGATTAAGAAATGCGATCAATGCGAATTTGAGAGAAAGGAGACTGTACCTTTCTTTGCTACGGGAGCCATTTCGACGAATATACTTCCTGAGGGATTAGTATTGGAATTGAGTTGTCGAGGAGTTGATGGATTGCTTCAAGAAAATATCTCGAGAGAAAAAGTCGAATTCACAGATCGTGGGCGAAAATTTCGCTAATCGGAGAAACTGTTTTGCCGGGCACCGAAGAATGACAAGGGATGCATTTTCCATCTAATTTTTCGATGTAAATACTTTGTGTACTAGTCGGGTTTAATCTTCTGTTATTAATTGATTCATTTTGGTTTTTTTATATTCGTGAAGATCTTCCGTTTTTTCGCTCGTGAAGACTCATGCTGGTTTCAGCATTGATTTGAAGTTCTCAAATCTTTCACCATGGGTATCAACAAGAAAACAAAACTTAAGTCTCTCTCACAAGGACGACCACCCACGATCAAGAAACCAGCTCAACGTATTTCAAGCAAAGCTACTCGAACAATTATTCGTAAGCACCATACGTTAGAAAAGCAAAAGGCCAAGGCGTTAGCAGAAGGTGATGAAGTTAAGGCGGCGGCACTAACACGTGAGATTGCTTCACAAGGGGGATTGGAAAGCTATCAACGTGCAAGTCTAATCGGGCAGGGCAATGATAGAGGTGGAGATAGTAGCAAGATCTTGATGGATTGGCTAGCGCCTCTATCTAAAGATCTCAAGGACCTAGTTGAAAGGAAGTCACCTGTCCGCATGTTAGAGGTTGGAGCTTTGAGTACTACGAATGTTTGTTCGAGAAGTCACACCTTTCATGTTGAGAGAATTGATCTAAATAGTCAATCGGAGGGAATCACGCAGCAGGATTTCATGCAACGCCCGCTACCGAAGGACGAAACCGAAAAATTTAACATAATCAGTCTTTCTCTAGTCTTGAACTACGTTCCGGATGGCGTAGGCAGAGGTAATATGCTACTCCGAACTCGCAAATTCTTGGAAACAATCTGTCCGGCTGGTGATGGCTTTAGCGAATGGTTTCCGGCATTGTTCTTGGTACTACCATCGCCTTGTGTGAACAACTCACGTTATATGGATGAAGCGAGACTGGAAGCAATCATGGAGAGCTTGGGATACGTCATGGTGAAGAAGAAGCTTTCGAACAAGCTGGTATATTATCTCTGGCGTTTACAGTCGCCAACGATGAAACCACGACAATGGAAGAAGGAAGAGATTCGAGCTGGAGGCAGCCGCAACAATTTCTCAATTGTGCTTAAGAATTGATCGTTATAATGGGGGGAGGGCAGGCGGTCTACATTATACATTGTACGTTGATGGACCGGTTGCAGCTGTGTCCCACGAACGACTATCAGAAGGAATTCTAACGACAATCAACACAGATTCCGGCATCGACCGGAATGTCCAGCTTGCTTCCGTACACTGAGGGGTTGTATCCTGCATGGAGCGATAGGCGCAAGATGCAAAATGGGCTCGGACTACAAATTTTATATGGTGGGTCGGCACCCTTGAGGAACATTTAGGCCTCTCCTGATGAATAAATAGACAAGACGAAAGATCGCCCAATCAGTTAATGAGAAGGTACTGGTGCGTAATGCGAAACAGTCAAAATCATGAATGGCATGGGGAGATTCGGGAGAATTAGTTGAGGCATTCGAAGGTGGGGGGATTTTCGAGTTTTTACACAAAAGTACCATGTAAAGGATGGATAAGAATACGGTAGATATCAGATTGGCCGAGAACTGCAAAGGACCTGACGGGCAGGTGGGGCATCTAATCCATGCATCTACCTGCGCCGCTGCATTTCCAAGTTTCTACTAAAATGTTGCACTACTTGAAGGGCAAACTCGAAGACTCATTGAGTAAGTTGGAAAGTCTAGAAAACTTTGCTTGAAGGAACTCAACGAATGAGAATCATAGGAGGGGAGGAAAGAGGGGAATAAACAAAAGTAATGGTTGCACGAAAATACAAGGGATGATATAAAAAATTTGTGTTGTGCATAAAATTGAATCTCGCATGACATCGGCATGAAAGCCCGATAAGCGTTATCTTTGGCTGGAGAAGCTTGCTTGATTTTTAAAAAGGCGGACTAAAACCATAAAATATCAATCTAGATAGTTCTCAATATGCAACCCACACCCAATTACACCCAATTCTTGATCCTGTCATATTAATTTGCTCGTGTGTCCATTCTCAAGAAACATCAGATGGTTTGGCAGTGATTTTTCTCTCAAGGTTTACTAAGGATTCGAAGATTATAGAATTTTGTCATACTCGGTTTCTGACTGTGGCATTTGATGATATCGCAATAACGAATAATATATTGCATCCTCATCATGGCGCCTCCTCCCAATCGAAATCCAATAACCTTCCATGAGTACGAGCATGGCACATCAGGATCCCCCAGAGGCTCTATTAGTAGCAATCGAAGTGTACGATTCGACTCAGGCAATTTCTCTCCATCTGCAGAATCTGATTATCTAGCCCCTGGGGATCAGAATGAACAGATGGAAGGTTTGAGGAGACGAAGGTATTTCGTCCTTCTCTTTCTTCGCGTGTATGATGGCTAATTTTTGATTCCAAGGTCTTCGATTGCCATGCGATTTAACTCTATTGCCCATGCTGGAGGTGTAAACAGTATCGAGAACTTCGCGCGAAGTTTAACACGAGCTACTGCCTTCCACGAAATTACTCCGCGCCGCCCGTCCTTCATACTTGCTGGGGACGGCACCGGAGAGGGTGATGATCCAGATCTAGAATATGGAGGATTGCAGGCGGACTATGGTAGAATACCTCGATCTTCCTTGATCAGAGAACAGCTACGGAGATCAAATTCGGATGGCGTGGGTGATGACGAATCTGCAATTGGCGATGAGACAGAGAGCAACCTATCCCGGGTTGCCAGCCACATGAAGCCCGAAGGAGAACGACTTCTTGGAGGCGATCGCTCAAGCGTGCAAGGAAGTGTAAGAGGCGGTCAATCCATCTTTGCCATTGCTCCGCATCTATCAACTCCTTTGGCGGGAAGCTATGGAACGTCTTACGGCACATTACGTTCAAACTTAAACGAGTCATCGATGATCCATGCTGGCCAACTTTGGCGACAACAACAAGCCACCGGCGCAAATGTTGCTGACGGGGAACACATGCCTTTGATCGTCAAGGAGGTTGAAGAAGATGGAAAGATCGTACTTGTGGTTGAGGGACAGTCTACGCTTCCACAGACGATCCTTAACTCCACGAATGTTCTCATTGGAGTTGGACTGCTCAGTCTCCCTATGGGTTTGAAGTACTCGGGACTGCTATGTGGCATGATATTACTCTTTCTATCGGCGCTTGTTACGTCGTACACGGCGAAATTGTTGGCTAAGTGTATGGATAGAGATCAGAGCCTTTTGAGTTTCGCAGACGTTGCTTATGCAACCTATGGTCGCAAGGCAAATATAGCGACTAGTATACTTTTCACTATGGAGCTTCTTGCGGCATGCGTTGCCTTGATTGTCCTTTTTGCAGATTCCCTTAATTCGCTAATTCCATCCGTCGGAGTCAATGAATGGAAAATTCTATGCGGTCTTCTTTTGATACCACTCAATTTTGTCCCGTTGCGTTTATTGAGTTTTACTAGTATCCTTGGAATCGTCTCATGTTTTTCCAGTATGCAGAACTATTCCCCAATTCCAACATATCAGCTAACCATGATAGTTGTGCTAATAATTCTCATTGATGGGTTTGTAACACCACGAACTCCTGGTTCTCTATTGGAACCGGCAACTCAATATATTTTTCCAGCCAATGTAAGTGTCTTAGATGCGCCTCATCTCAGTATCATTCGTCATTGTATATCATATCATCACCAAAAACACCCAGGCTATCAGGTCTATTGTATCCTCGTACACTTCTAACGTAAATTGGTGCATTCAAACCGCGGTGTTCAAATTCGAATCAAAGAATCATCTCCCAATATGATGTTTCCGAGAATGAGATTGACATGATATGATATCTATCACTCTAATTTTTGCTAATACTACTCCTGTCTAGTGGCTCACGCTCCCACTTTCGTTCGGCCTTATGATGTCGCCCTGGGGAGGACATTCGGTTTTCCCCAACATTTATCGTGACATGAGACACCCATATAAGTTCGACAAGGCAGTCAAATACACATTCAGTTTCACAGTAAGTTTCGATTAATCTCCAACCTCGCCTACATTGTGCTAAACATTTCATAGTATGTGCTTGATGCTACAACTGCTCTGGCTGGTATATTGATGTTTGGAGGTAAGCCCGCATTTCAAATTCAGCGCTCCCCTCTTCCTTACATCTTAGTCTTTGGGTCTATCCTTCTTCCGTTCAAAAAACACATCCCCCCACAAGCAGTTTCAATGCCAGACAGACACTAATATGTCTGTAGATAACGTTATGGACGAAGTGACCGCCAACATTATTGGGAACTCAAGCTACCCTCGCAGCTTGTCTCTTATGATATGCATATTCATTGCCATAATTCCATTGACCAAGGTCCCTCTGAACGCCCGCCCTATTGTTTCCACAATCGAATTGCTCTGTGGGCTTGATTCTCGCGCCATGCCCGAATCACAGGCCCTTACCGGACTCTCAGGCTACACTCGTGGTATAATCAAAGTTGCCATTCGTATCATTGTTCTCATCGTATTTGTAATCATTGCTATTGTCTTTCCGGCTTTCGATAGTATTATGGCGTTTATGGGTTCGGCTTTATGCTTTACCATTTGTGTCATCCTACCACTTTTGTTCTACGTCAAGATGTTTGGAAAGGAAATCAGTAGGAGAGAGCTGATATTGGATTACTGCTTGATTGCTATTAGTTCTATAATGGCGGTTGTGGGTACCGTCTGGGCTTTCTTGCCCAAGGAACTTATTCACGCCGAATAATGCGCGTACGGCAAGCGACGCGTTTTTAATATTCTTGGGGAGGCAGCACACATGTTTCGGAAATGTATTCGTTGCATGGTTCATAAGGATTGGTATTGGAGTTCTGCATTATGCATTGATGGTGGTCGTTTGATACTCTCT